TTCACACTAACACATATTACGGTTAACCCACGTATTTTTCAAACTAAAGCAAAATATTAAATTATTTTATGTAAATTCCAAAAACAAATATTTACTTGCTTAATGCAATTTTTGGAGTTCAGTCGAACCTTGATTTTTGTATGATATCTTTAGTGGCAATATGTACAATTATACAATCATATACATACTCATACATATGAGTATTTAAAAATTAATATTGCACTTATTAAAAAATTTCGTTCCGACACTTAATAGAATTTCGGAAAAAATTATGTATTTTCAAGTTTGTTAATTTTTTTCTTCTTCTTTTGCTGTCTCGCTTTGTATGTATTTTCGACGAACTTTACGCTTCCGCAGCACTTACATGCATTTGCGTATTGCTTACTTATATTTGAATTCTGCGAATTAAAAAAAAAAGGTCAACAAATTGTTGTTATGCAAAACACCGATTGCAACAACTGCACTTTTATTTTGTTAGAAAAATTTAACTACGCCATGCACACTTTTCCTGCTGGGTATGAACCAAACGTTTGACTAGTGAAATTATTTATCGAAAAACTATTTCGTTGCTATAAGATAAATAAAAGTATCAAAAATTACACAAATGTTAAATAATGTTTTCGAAATAAATGTACATGTATGTACATGTGATAAATAATACATAAAAATATCATTTGTTTATTTTCATAAGCGCTACCAAGTATTTAGAAAAATATTAAGAGTAAAACAGGTTCAAACATCACTTTCTGCTGCGCACTACTAATGACTGGTTTTGTTGCATTGAAATATTAAATAAATAAATAATAAAATATTTTGAACAAATCAAAATATTTTAATAATATTTTTTCGCTAACGTAACGCAAAACATAAAGTCATTTTAACATCTTCACTTTCTCATAGAAATTAAATAAAAAAAAAAATTTTTAAAAATTGGCAAAACAAATTTGCTTAAATAAGAATCGCTTTACACTTTCATTTGCCATAATTTAATAACAAAAGCAAACTTACAATGATTGGGTTTGCATATTAATACACTCAGTTTCATAAATAAAAAACCAAACTTAATGAAAACGAATTTTCTATTTTTGTGTTTTTTTTTTTTAAATAAATTTTTATTGTGCGCGAATATCCATTACTCTTTCATTTTCCCGCATTTAGCATTATCAATCATTTGTGTCTGTTTTATATTTCACACAAACGCTTTCAAGCTAATCTTGAAATGCATAATTAGTTTATTGTTAATAGTTATGCTTCTCAATGATGTTTGTTGGTAGCGAAAGAAAAAGTTGATATATACATAGGTATGTGTAAACAAAAAAGCATTAAATTTTTCATAGCTTTTGTTTTCATTTCCTTTACAAAAAACTCGTATAAAACAACGTTCGCGGTTAAATTCGTTATTATTTTGCTCTTTCTACTAATGATGAGACAGCTTTTTCGCTTGAAGTATTTCTAAGCAATATTTTTTGTGTTTCTTTTGTCTTTCAGCACTTTGTTCATTTGTTTCGAATGAAATTTTGCAGTTTTTGATGTAAATAACCTGCGAACGACGAAAAAAAATTTAAAAATATAAATAATTGTTTTTCGCGGCCAGTACTAATAATTACACGTTTATACCGCAGATCACCACATCTTGTCTCATCAGGCTTCTTATGGCAGGGATCGAACCAATGGATCCTGACTTAACAGCTGTCACTTCTCCCATTTTTCTTTGCTGTAAAATATAAATATTCGATTCGCAGGAACAAACTAGGCCTTCACCTCAATGAAAACTTATATTAAAAATATAAATTCTATATATTTTCATTCACTTCTCATATTTGCTTGGCTCTCAAGCAGACAGTTTGACTACCGCTTGAGTGTCATTCAAACTGTTGGCTATAAATGACAAATGTCAATGCAACTCTATATTATTCATTATTTGCATACAAAATATTTTTTTATTGCTAATTAAAAGCTGAAAAAGGTATACAAATTGCGGAGATAAGCAGATAAAAAATAAAAAAAAGAAATTTCATTAGCAATCATTTGATTTAAGGCACCTGTTTGATAACAAACTGTGATTATCAATTAATGCAGGCAGGGAAATCATTTGCTGTCAAGTGTGTCAATTGCCAAAACACGCGCTTGTTGATAAAATTTTATATTTGTGCACGATTTTTATGCTTTTATTGTGTAGCATAAAAAAACCTAATAATAAACAAATATAATCGGATATTGATGGTTTTTCCTGGATGTGTATGCTAAAAACCGACTAAATAAACACTTAAATATTAGTAAATGAAGAGCATATTACTGCGGTGGGCTTTGCTTCTATCCGCCACTTTGCTATTCATACGTCAAGAGCGTTCATCTCCATGCCCGCTGCTTAATTATTTATTATTACTTGTTTCGCGAAATGAAAAAAAAGCTGTGGGGAATGTATCACCTATGATGAAGTCAAGGCGACAATTTCAGCGTATTTTGAAAATAAAAATCAAAATTTTTTTTATCAAGTCATAAATAAATAAATTGAAAGAACTTAAAATGTATACATCTAGCAGGTGGTTATATTGAAAAGGAAAATTAATTCGGTTATTTTATTTCCATCCCTTATTCCCCATTTCGCGAATATGAAAATTCTTCCTCTTAAGTGAAACCGCTTACCACAAATTAAAAATTGCATTATTAATTTAAAAAGTTTTATCAATAGACCAACCTCAATTAAAATTTTCTTTTCTACTGTTTAAGCCAGTGAAATAAACCTTGCTATAACAGTTTTGTCAAATTTTTATTATTTATTATTTTTATTAATATTTTTATTTTATTATCTTTTTTTTGCCTTAGCCTCTTAACTTTTCTCCGCTTAGCGTTAGTTGCCAAAATACCAACAACAACGACAGCAACAGCGGTCATAATTTGAGCAACGCAAATCCATCAATGTTTGCCTCGTAGTGACTGACCTCTGGTATATCTTTCACTTAGGCCAAATTACTGTTGTTGTGCCTGAGCATTTTCAACAATTATTTTGTAAGCAATACTTTTTGCTTACTTTTTCTCTTTATACGCAAAGCATTTCTCCGCCTTATTATCTGCACAAAATCACATCCCCTTCTTTCGCCTCTCCCCGACATACTTTGCATCGTTCAATTTGCTAAAGAACCCAAAGGCATTTCTTTTGTAGTGAATGCAGTGCAATACTAGCATGTTGTTGTTGTTGTTGTTATTGTAAAGTTTCCTTATCGTTCGTTTTATTGTTTGCTCATTACTTTCAACACAATTGGATTTTACGGTTTCCAATTCATCTCGGTTTTTCTTTATACTCCCGAAACATGCATGCCTGCCTATGTACATACATACATATGTATATACATATGTATGCGCATATTTATCACACTCCTTCATCTCCTCGTCTGTTGTGTGATTTAAAGCGCTATAAACTATCCTTAATTTAATATGCGTTTGCTGTAAATCTAGCGTTTAAGTGGAGAAGCGTGTCAATTGCTGGCAAAGTGGATCCCTCGAATTCTGCATCACGCGTAGTTGGAGTTGAAAGTTTTTTGATATGATCTACTCGTTTCCTCGTTTATATGTATGTATTCATGATATATGTGCATATGAATGTAAGTATTTATATGTATTTGTTCATATAAATGTTATCTTTTTGACCGCATAGTCGGGCTCTCGTCTCAAAATTTGCTACTCGACTTGATAAGCTAATTCGTAAGACATTCTTTCTTATTTCTCAGTTTTATTAACGATTTGTTTATCTCTTCATCAATTAGCCTCCGAATGGTTTTATCAATGAATTAGTCTGTGCTTACATATATAGATGTATGTATGTATGTATGTATGTTCAAATCATTCCTCATAGAAATTCTTAAGAATTTTCACATGAGAACAGAAACAATTATAACAGATGTTAATGCTAGGCAAGGGATTTGGTTCGAGGGCTACGGATCGAGTGGATCTAAATATCAGTAGTAACTCCAACGCTCCTTCATGGAGCTATTTGTGATGGCGTTAAGGTGTATCTGTGGTGCACTGGGGAGCATGCCAAATGAAGCTCTTGCCACTGGAATTGGTGGTATATCAGCCGGCAGCATTAACCGCTCTTTATTTAAGAGAGTCGTATCAAGGGATAACTCAGCTATTGGGACAATTAAGAATATTGAATAAATACCTTTTCATACCAACCTAAACAGCTCGATGTGGTGCATTCATCGAAAATTACTTCAAACACGAATTTCTAGCTCCGAGAGAAATATGTACGGATGGTCCACAGCTTGAAATCCTCCTATGGAACTCTGTTTTAAGCTACTGGACCAGCCAGCATACTAAAATCAAAAACAGCGCTGGAGTCTTATCAATCCTTACAGGAGATGCTCAAGTCAGAACAGACTGTCTCTCACATTAGTTCGTGTTCATAAGAAACTGTAAGGCGGATGAACATGCTAGGCGCGGTACAACCAAGCAGATTGATATGCTTTTTGCCTGACCAAAATGGGATGGGCAGAGATCACTAGATATCGACTCCTTAAAAAGGGGTCACATACCCAAAATAAAAGGAGTCGTTTGCAGGCTCTCTGATAGGAGCAACATGCAAAGAGACTAGGGGCTCTTCACCAGTAGGGCAAGTACGAAGTAGATAGCGGTGGGAAATCCTATGCAATGTATTCAAACAGCTCTGGTCATTAATCGAGGATAAGACAACAAAGTCTCTACTTCTAAATAGGACCTCCATGAGCTTTGCCATCGGCGCTATCAATGGACATTATCTCATCGGGGCTATGGTAAGAGGATAAGTTACTTCTCTAATGAGTTCTCTCCAGCCCTCAGTGCACTAAATGAAGACAAAAGAAGGTGACGTGGGCTCCGGCGGGGTTTTGCGATGTTCACGTGTTCAATGCTTCCTTTTCAATTTTAAGGTTTTCCAATTAAATTTAAATTTAAGTTTTGCTTCGTAAAAAAGACATTTCTTATTTAATTTACACCCACTCTCTCTGACTTTTGTCTTTCAGGTATTATATATTTACGATCTCATCTCAACAAATATCTATCGGTCGACACGTTCGGCAATGTGCTGTGCGAGACTGAAGAGCGCGATGTTAGCAGTCGCTTCCAGATTAGTATCAGCGAAGATGGCACCGGCCGTTGGGCGTTGAAGAATGAATCGCGCGGTTATTTCCTTGGCGGTACACCAGACAAACTCGTTTGCACTGCTAAAACGCCCGGCTCCAGCGAGTTCTGGACAGTGCATTTGGCTGCCAGGCCACAAGTTAATTTACGTTCAATTGGACGCAAACGTTTCGCACATCTGTCCGAATCACAAGACGAGATTCATGTCGATGCGAATATACCATGGGGTGAGGATACGCTGTTCACGCTGGAATTTCGCGCTGAGGAGGGCGGGCGTTATGCTTTGCATACTTGCAACAACAAGTGAGTAATGCAACAAACTTTCACATGATCTAATGATTGAATGATTGTCTGCTGTGCTGTTCTTCTTCATTTTCTTTCTCTTTCTTTATTTTATTTGTTACTGACTCACTAACGATCTTTTGATTTTCGTTGATAGGTATTTGAATGCTAACGGCAAACTGCAGACGATTTGCAATGAGGATTGCCTCTTCAGCGCCGAATATCATGGCGGACACTTGGCGCTGCGTGACAAGTGAGTTTGACATTTGCTGAATGCCAATGATTGATGATTACTAATCAACTTGTATTTACTTCCATTGCATGTGCGTGTGTGTGTTTGTGTGTGTGTGTAGGCAAAGCCAGTATCTATCGCCGATCGGCTCGAAAGCTGTGCTAAAATCACGTTCCTCCACGGTGACACGTGATGAGCTCTTCTCGTTAGAGGACTCCTTACCGCAAGCCTCATTCATCGCGGAGTTGAATTCGCGTTATGTGTCGGTGAAGCAGGGCGTCGATGTTACCGCCAATCAGGATGAGGTGGGGGAGAATGAAACATTCCAATTGGAATTCGACTGGTCTGCTCATCGTTGGGCGTTGCGCACCACACAGGACCGTTACTGGTGTCTTTCCGCTGGCGGTGGCATTCAGGCCACAGGCAGTCGTCGCTGTGCCGATGCGCTCTTCGAATTGGTCTGGCATGGCGATGGCTCACTGTCGTTCCGCGCCAACAATGGCAAATTCCTGGCTACAAAGCGCTCCGGACACTTATTCGCCACCTCGGAGAGCATCGAGGAAATAACTAAATTCTATTTCTACTTGATAAATAGGTAAGTTCGCGTGTTATGGTCTACGCAGGTGAAAAAAAAATGAGATTTTTTCTTAAAATTGGCTTGAAATTAGATTTTGAGATTAAACTAATTCGCATAGGCTTAAAATATGTGAAAAACCGGGGTGGATATTGAAAAACATTCAAGTCAGACGAATTATATGTACATACTTATAAAAGATTTTCCGAAAATGAATGTCCATAGTGAAAATCGTTAAAATCGAACTGCAGTTTACTATAGCTCTCATACAACTCATTGTTCAAAAATGTTAATTTAACCTTTAACTCGGGAAATCAAGCAATTGGAAATATGAAATTCAACACTCTTTACACTCTTATTAACTTGAAAGTGAACTGTGAAAAAAGTAAGGTTCAAACGGCTTTAAGGTATAGCTGTCATACAACTCATCGTTCAAAAATAGCATTTAAGGTTATATTTCCACCAATTAAGGCACTAGTAATATGAAATTCACCACACTTACTTTTTTTCATAAATATAATATGTCCTGAGAAAATTATCAAAATCGTGCAACTGTAAACTATAGCTGTCATAGAACTTATCATTCAAAAATGATATTTTGAGTTCTAACTCATGCATTTAAGCAACAATAAGAATGAAAGTCCACATATCTATTTATTTTCATAAATAGAAAGTGATCTATGCAAATCTTTATAATTAGTTGCCTATATATGTAATGTCATATAACAGATTTTTCCAAAATTAGTATTCAAAAATTTGTACTACAACTCCGTTGATTTAGTCGTTAATTTCGGCACTTAAAGTTACACTACGCAGTAAAAATCATTCAAATTATGTGAATATAGCGGTTATAAAAGTATTTTTTCAGGCAGTAGCCCGAGGTAGCCTCTAAACTCAGCCTACCAAGTTATATTACAAATTTTAAAAATTTTGTTTATTTATTGTTTCTTCTTCTTCTTCATTATTTTTTCTCTTCAGACCCATACTTGTACTTAAATGTGAGCAGGGCTTTGTTGGCTATCGCACACCCGGCAACCTCAAGTTGGAATGCAATAAGGCCACTTACGAAACGATTTTGGTCGAACGCGCCCAAAAGGGTTTGGTACATCTGAAGGCACACAGCGGCAAGTATTGGCGCATTGACGGCGAAGGGATTTCCGTTGACGCCGACGCGCCCGCCGATGGTTTCTATTTGGAATTGCGCGAGCCGACCAGAATTTGTATAAGGTAATTCGCAGTTATGCAACATTTTTTTTTGAATAAAAATTTATTAAAAATGTGTTTTTTTTTTAATTTTTGAAATTTCCCCGCTACAGATCGCAAACTGGCAAATATTTGGGCGCTACGAAAAATGGCGCTTTTAAGCTGCTCGACGACGGTACTGACTCGGCCACACAGTGGGAGTTTTAAGCGTTGTATGCGCATGCGTGTGTGCGGCAAGGCATGAGCTTAGTGAATGAGCTGCTGGGTGATTGATTAATTGATAAATAATAATCCTGTTAGTATGTAGAGTTGCTAATGCATACACACATACATACATATGTGCATATATATATATATATATATATATATATATATATATATTTATATATATATGTATATACACGAAAGAAAAAGTGAATGATAAAAAGGAAAACTAATTTAAAAAGAAATGTGGAAAATCAGCGCAACCACACAAATACAAATACATATGCATACTTTTAAGTAATAAATGTGAGTGAAAAGCAAAATAAATAAATTAAAAATCAAGCGCATATTGGCCAATTAATTAAATGCTAAGGATAATGAAAAGAAAATATACTAAAATATCAATAATTAATAAATCAAAAAAAAAGTTAAATTTAACTAAAAGTAAAAAAGAAACTAAGCAAACTACAATATTGCGCAATTTGAAGATTTTAGCATTAAAACTAACTTACATGCATACACACATATATAAAAAACAACAAAATGTAGTATTGGTAATGAAAAAGTATTTTGTAATATGAAATATGATAATAAATAATGTCTACTTAAAGACACGCTTTTATATAAACAAAATTCAAACCAATATGCTTACATATAAACAACAAAAAAAAAAAATATTTTTATACCGCATTAAAAACGAGCATTGAAGAAATTAAAAGTAAAATCTAAAATAGTAGTAACTAAACGAAGCAACAAATTGTCAACAACAAAAACAGGAAACGCACAATTTTTATACACACATTTTTATATAGCAACAACAAAAACCTAGCTTTTATACCTGGAAGAAAAATAAAGAACAACAATAAAAAATATGCGTAATAATAAATAATATGCACTAAGTTAGAGGCAAGTGTGAGCGAAGAAGCGGAAAGAACATTTTTTTTAGTTTTGTTTAATTTTAGTGAATTTTCATGTTTTTTGTTCAACTTTTGTAAACAAAACTTTTAAAGTATTTAAGCCATGCAAAATTTTTGAACATTTTTAAGGGTATGATGTTGAAAATTTTTAATAAATAAAATAAATATAAATAAAAACGTGCAGTATTAAATAAAATATTTGATTGGTATTTAATAAAACAAATGTTAAAATCAAAGGCAAAAAAATGTGGTGTAAAAAGTTTTAATTACATCTTTTTATTTTTAATTTAAACAAATTTTTTCATTGTACTATTTTCATTATTACTACATACTCGTACATATATATTTTTTCAATATACCTTAGTTTCAATAAATAATTTTCTTTTTTCTTTTTCAACAAGTGCGAAAAAATAAAAATACATATGTTTTATGCAATACGTATAAAATTAAAAAGAAATATTTTTTTTTTTGGCCTTAAATACGGAAAAAAATAAAAATATAATAATAATAAAATATATTAATAATAAATATAATGAATAAAATTTTATGCTATCAATTCAAGGGGGAAAAAATTTTAGTTAAAAAAATCTCATATAATTTTTTATTTAATTATTATTCTTTTTTTAAAATATTTTATTTTTTGTATTAAATTATTATGATTTTTTTTTAATATATATTTTTTTAATTTTTATTTTAATTCAATCAATCAATTTTCTTTAATCAACATTTAAAGTTTTAATTCGATATTTAATTATTATTAAAGTTTTTAAATTTTAATTTATATATATATTTTTTTAACACTTTGTTTCTATTAAGCTTTTCATGTTTTAATTATTTTTTATTTAATTTAAATTTATACAAAATTTTATTTTTTCAATTTTTTCTAAAGCTCGTTGGGAAAATTTAAGTTTTCTTGGATAATTTATAGACTTTATAAAATATTTTCTTAACGCTCCTCACTTGCCTTTCTTCGAAATGTGCTGAGTAATGCAAAAAACTGCCAATTTTGAGAGTCCTTCCGTTGCAAACATTTTAAAAAAATCCTAAATAAAAATTAATAAAAAATCAGTATAAATAAGACTATTATATGTGAATTGAAAAAGGAAAGAAACCAAAAACCAAATTTGGTAATGAAATTTTTGAGAAGTTTAATTGTAAAATTGTTTAATAAATATTTAATATACATACATATACATATAAATTAAAAAACAAAAAACAATCGCAATTTTATTGAACCATGCGTGAATATTTTAAATGCTTTTTATAGTAATTTTTAACAGAAACTCCTCCAATTTATGCATATACATATATATTCCTATTAAAATGAAAAAAAAAGAAAAAATAATAATAATAACAAACTACATTTTACATATAAATATAACGATTATAAATAAGTATGTTAGATTCAAATGCATGCATATATATTGAGGTTTATAATACATATTACATTACATACATTCATACATATTAATATCTGTAAGCATGTGTGCATGAAAAGCCAGCCTCTTACTGAATGCAGCGTTGAAAAAAAAAATTAAATAAAAATAAAAATAAAAATAAAAATAAAATAAATTTAAAGCGTTAAATAAAATGTAGAGCATGCACATGAAACAAAAAAAAAGAGTGGCAACAAAATTGTATTATAATTTAAAAGAAAAAAATTTTAAAAAAAATTTTTAATTAATTTGGTCAACTTGGCCATTAACTTACTAAAGATAAAAGCGATTTTGAGAAGGAAGTTTGCAATATTTCAATTATATTTATTTAAAACTTTTTTATGTTTACATTAATGTTTATTATTTTGCTCTTAGTATTTCCATTTTTCTTAAATTAATATTAGTTAATTACGCCTACACACATAAATAGTTATACAACTGAGTAATAAATATATACAACAATCTTAACTAAAAATATAAAAAAATATTTAAAAAATAATAAATGAAAAACTTGAAATATTTTTTCAAAAAACAATATTTTATTTTATGCACACGTACATACATAGATATTTAATTATAAAGAAATATAAACGAATTTAGTTTCCTTAAAACAAATGCATGTTTTTCCAATTTTTATTATTATTATTTAATTACATACATACATGTGAGCATACATACATATGTAAGTATATATGTATATGATGCTCCTTCATTCTTAAAGCAAAAAAAATCATTTCCTAATAGTTTGTAATTTCACAGCGTTGTTCATTGTCACTCAATTAGACTTAAATACAACATGCATAAATATATAACATACACGTACATACATATATAAAACTTCCTACCCATTTTTTTCTTTCATATTTTTCAAAACAAATTTATGTTTTTTATTTTTTTCTTAGAAACAAAATTCATTTAATTATGTATTTATAATATAGAAAGCAAATAAAACATGTGGCAAGAGTAGTGGTTATACATTCATAAAACAACAAGAATATATATACATAATTGGATAAGAATTAATTAAAGAGCATATGTGAAACTAAACGCGATATCAATATCAATAAAGGACACTTATTATATATCATGTATTCATACTCTAAATTGTTTGGGCTTTTTATTCTTTACTCAAGGGGGTGGAAACATATGTATACTTTCTCCTTATATTCTTCTTCTTCTTCTTCTTTTGTTTTGAATTGGCATCGCCACCGTCAGGTTAACATTAGCGATCGAGTGCTTCCCTTATTTCGCAAACACTCATCTGTTAATCTGTTGCTTGTGTTGTTGTTGTTCTTGGAGCGGCTTTCGCCATTTGATCACTCTAAGTATTGGAGATGTTTTCCTTACTCAGCACAAGTACCTTCAAAGTCGGAGTATTTTCTTTCAATATAACATGTGAGGACTAAATATCTCCAGCAAAATATCTCCAACTTCATAAATACGCACCCTGTAAAAGAAACGATTGAAAGTCATAACTTTGAAGTCATAGGTAATTTCGTCTATCTAAGAACCAGCATTAACACCAATACTAACGTCAGCCTTAAAATCCAGCGCAGAATCACTCTTGCCAACAGGCGCTACTTCGGACTGAGTAGGCAATTGAAATGTTAAGTCCTCTCCCGACGAACGAAAACCAAACTCTACAAGCCTCTCATCGTTCCCGTTTTGCTATATGGTGCGGAAGCATAAATGAAAAAAAAACTGAGGGAGAGGAAGACAACCACTCCGTTGGAAAGACCTGGTAAAGAAGGACCTGGCTGTACCTGGTATTTCCGATTGGCAACAAACAGCAAAAAGAAGAAACGAATGGCGAAATATTGTTAAATCGGCTATAATCGCGTAAACGGTGTATACACCAGTAAAGTAAGTAAGTAAGTGAGTAGTTTTACAAGGAACAACCTTTTCCCCCCTTGGCTCTTGCAAGGTGGGAAAAAAACAAAAGCAGTTCCATCCTTAATGAAATGCTAAGAGTTTACAAAAAAAATTTATTTTATTATTTTATTTTATTGCCCTTTTGGTATACGGGCGCTCACGCCGATTGTCCATCACAATGATCGGGATTTTCTGTTGGAGAATTCGCCTTCGGACACAGTAGGGCTTGCAAACTACTCTTGTAATCTTACCCAACCGTGTAAACCTGATTTTGCACCACGAAGCTTATTGGCAATGCCGAATGTAGTGCGTTTCTCATCGCCCCCAGCAGGCCATGGTGTGCCGTCTGCTTTGAGTAGCATCAATGCTCATACCATTAACGACTGTCACACCGGCGGCGCCACCACGTTTCACAGTCTGAGCGATTACGACGATCTCAGTGTGCCCCAAGCGGAAATTTTACTATCGTTCACCGACTCGATGGTTGTCTTGGCGATGCAGAATACCTGTGGCACGCTGGTTTGTAGAGTTTTCGGATCTATTTTGGGTATTTGGGGTTTCTTCAACTCTACTGGTTTCAGCGCCTCAATGACTTCTTTCTGCTTAAGTCCGGACCCAAAGGCTCAGATAACGTGGTTTGCGGGTATGGAAGTCTTCTGCTCTTTATCTTCGCATATGCTGCCGTCCTTATTCATAACTGTGCATATAAACTCTACAGCAACATTCTACGAGAAACCTTGTACACAAAAAGTAAAGTGCTCCCCGGTTAAAATTAATACTTACCTTCTCATTCTCCATAATCATCACGCTGGCTTTCGAGTATGGCACTAATTCGCAACACTCTTCGCGCACCAACTCTACCTCCTCGAGTAGCGCGAGTATCATTGCGGTGCTGTACAGGAACATCACAACTACACGTTGTCCGTCACAACGCCATGCAGCTGAGGTACAATCGAAGGTTGTGTCGTCTGCGCCACGCACAATCACATTACCCGACATCTTAGGCAGCGTACTCTCAGCAAGGAGATCACGCTTGGAACCGGCTGGACGCTGGACAAAACTGGTTTGAACGTATAAAAGCCTTTAGATTCATCTAGATTCATTCAAGTCGCCGCATACTGGATCTGAATTGGGCTGCAGTGAGCCAATACGCGTCTCCTACTCACCTCAACTATTGTATTTAGTCGCCAAATAGGTGGCACACTAAAGTGAAACAGGATCACCACCCAAGAGAGCTACCCTGATATTAGGTGGTACTATTTGACTCAACCCCATTTCATTTGAGACGTTCCGTCAAAAAATGTTGTAATCCAGTAATATTATTCGGACCCTCTTCGGTCGTTTGCAAGTTACAGCTGCCAGCACAGAGATCACTGGTGGAGCTAACCATGTGAGACCTAATCGTTTGTCTGAGAAGATCATTTTAGCAGCGCCGTCAAAATTTTTTTAGACAATGTTCAAGATTAAGCTCTTGGCGTGGGCACCTGAATACCTCTCCTCGGCATCAGATAATTTTGAACGGATTCTCGAACGTGCTGAATATTTTCTTCAAAGGCTCCAGTTTAAATGTGTAGACAAGCCCCTTCACATGTACAATGGCTTTTGGGTTATCATTCCTCCAAATGCGAAAATTTGGATTGCTAACACACCCATTCAACCATTGCGTTGCTGAACAAAAATTTCTTGTGAAAATCCGGATTGGGGCCATCTCGTTTTGCACCCATTCAAGGAACATGCAACGCACTTGATGGTCGTTCGGCTTCAATTCTTGCACGAGTTGGATTTTGTATGCCCCCAAGCCAATATCCTTCCGCAAAATCTTCTATATGGTGGATGGGCACAGCTCAACTTGTTACGAGGTATGGTGGTTGGCCTCGATCGGAACTTGCTCGGTGTCCTGCTCCAGAGTAGCAAAAGCATCTTCGCGCGCTATTCACGGCGTTTCTGAGCTTTCCCATTGCCCCGTAGAGTAAAGGAAACCGAGCCATGATTGCTCGAAATACCCTGACTCTGATGGGCGATTATGTCCACACGTCTAGGAAACACCCTTTATGTAGGTGCTAATTACGCTTCCAAAACATCATCGGTTCAGAATAAACAAAATTAGTGATTTTGTTAAAAAAAAATATTATTTTATTTGTATTATTACGGTGGATACAATGTTGATTGCATAACAAAATTACTAATTGATTAAAACTTATTCAGTAAATTAACGATAATTGAACGGTTTTTAAATGCTATCTTGGAATAAGAAGCCAAAAGTCTACTGCATTGGACTCAGTGCGTGCACAAAGACCGGCGTGTTCTCGCCCCAACCGCGCTTGACAATGTGTGGAATCTGCTTTGGCACCATGCTGAAAAGAGATTGAAGACATGAATATTCTTTTCTTTATGGTAGGCAACTCAAGAACTTACGTAATGCAATCGATGATGGGACAGACGGACACGCACAGCGTACAGCCGGTGCAATCATCCGTGATATGTGGTATGTGAGTCTCTGCATCGAATTCTATGGCCTGATAGCCGGAGTCATTGCAAGTCATATAACATTTGCCACAGTTGATGCACATATCCTAGGAGAAAAAAAAACAATTTAAGTTCAGAGAAAACCAGCAATAGAAACTCTACCGAAACCTACGTCATCGATTAAAGCGACTTTCTGTTGCTTGTTGTCCAACTTCTTGTAAGCGCCAATACGGTCCAAAGCACGTCCTATTACATCATTTACTCTAAACGCCGGCTTCGGCGTGTCATGTGTAGGAGACACATCATTATCCGACTTCACCTTCCATAGGGGACCATTTTTTACACGCTCCTCATAGAGTTTTTCCTCACGTTCTTTCTTGTATGGACCAAAGAAGCCCAAAGTCTGTAAAAGTAACAGAAGTTAGAGCATGAAACGGTGGAAGGGCAAGCAGTTCCTTTGTACCTTGTTATCTGCGCCAGCCAAGTGCACCACCGGTTTACCCTTTTGATGTTTAGGCGTTGGTGGTGACTGGCCGTCCCACGAGAGCCCACTATTTGGCGGTGGATTAGCTCGCAAATAAAGCAGCGCCTTCAAACTAGTCGTATAATCTTCAATCAGCGTGAAGTCCTGATTTTGTACGGCAGAGCACACTTGCAGGACTGTAGCACCAGCTTGCAGAAACTGTAGTGCCACCTCGCCAGAGTCTATGCCGCCAATACCGAGTATGGGAAATCCGGGCAGTTTGTTGGCGATGGATGAAATCGCCTTCAGTGCCATAGGACGTGTCGCATTACCGGATACACCACCGTATGTGGTACGTTTCTCGATACCAATCGCGGGCCAAGGCGTAGCATCCGCTTTCAGGCTCATCAAGCCTTGTACGGTGTTGATGGCTGATACGCCCGCGGCACCACCACGTTGCGCCGCTTCAGCAATGCTCACAATGTCTGTTATGTTGGGCGTCAGCTTAATGAAGACGGGTATGTTTACAGTTTCACTGACCCATTTTGAAATTTTCTCCACCAAGTCGGGAATTTGACCACACGCCAAACCCATGCCGGACTCGCCCATACCATGTGGACAAGACAGATTCAGCTCAAGTGCATCCGAGCCACATTCCTCTGCTTTGGTAGCCATTTCTTTCCAATCTTCCTCGATAGCAGCGCACATTATACTCGCAATGACAATTTGTTCGGGAAAGTCCTGTTTCAGCTCACGTATTGAGCGATACCAATACTCGGCACGTTTCTCCGAGATCAACTCAATATTGAGGAAAGCACCTTGCTGTGGTCCATAATTGTAGCCGGAGGTAGTGCCACGTACTATGCGTGGTGAGACATTGGTGACCAGATCTTTATCGAGTCCAAAGGTTTTTGTCACCACAAAGCCCCAACCTTGCTCGAACGCGCGTCGACACATAGCCGCGCTTGTGGTTGGCGGTGCTGATGCTAAGCCGTATGGATTAGGGAACTTGAGTGTATGCTTTTCTTTTTCACCTGTCGCCTTGTTAGTGCGTTCGTAGACCAACTCAACGGATAAGTCCACGTGATCTATATCAGTGTAGAAAAGTGGCAAGTCGGCAGCCGTTTCGAGGGGCAGTCCTTGCAACTGGCAGTGTATACTCCATGCGGCAATTTTACCATCGTTCACCGACTCAACAGTAGTATTGGCTTGACCGCCCAAATCCCCGCCGCAGAACACCTGTGGCACGCTGGTTTGAAGTGTCTTTGGATCGACTTTGGGTAGATGCCATTGATCCAATTCAACTGGTTTGAGGGCATCAATAATTTCTGGGTCATTCAAACCGGAGCCGAAAGCTGAGATAATGTAATCAGCTTTGAGTGTTGTGGGCTGCTCTGTGTCTACGATAAGTTTGCCGTTATCATCCAACTCTGTGCGATAGAACTCCATAGCGCGTATCTACAAGCAAAAACAATTAGTTAAATGCCTATAACTAGAGGAGTGCATCTGCCCTTACCTTCTTTTCCTTAACAACCACCTTGCTGGGTGCCAAAAATGGCAAGAACTCACACCATTCTTCGCGTGCCAATTCCACCTCTTCGGGTACGGCGCGCATGCCGGTGGTGCCACGACGGAAAATGACAAAGACACGCTTAGCGCCACAACGCCAGGCGGAGGTCGCACAATCGAATGCGGTATCGCCAGCTCCCAGCACGATGACATTGCCCGATAATTGTGGTAAAGCTTGATTAGCCTTACATGCGCATAAACCAGGTTTCGAGCCTGCCGATACGCTGGGTAAGAAGTTTTTTGAGGTATAAAATCCCATAGACTCATCGAGGCCGCCGAACACAGGATCAATATTTGGTTCTGGTAAACCGATGCCCAAGAAGACGGCATCATGACCAGTTGATAGTAAGTCCTGTAAGAAATTTTTCGGATTATTACTTTTCTACAAATCAAAACCCAAAATGCACTCACATTAACGGTCAAGTCATTAGTGGACAAACTGCGATTTAGCTCGAATTTAACGCCCAAGTCCTGCACCAAACGAATTTCGAAATTAACAACTTCCACAGGCAAGCGGTATTGCGGTATCTCCGACGAACTTAGACCGCCCAAATACGCGCGTTTCTCGTAAATCGTTACATCCTTATAACCCAAGCGCGCCAGAAAGGTGGCACATGACAGGGAGGCCGGTCCACCGCCGAGTAAAGCGATTTTCTTATTTGGCTGTGGTAGAGGCTTGATATTTGGTGGCACTATTTGACGCACGCCCATCTCTTTGAAAATCTCCGTAGCAAACTGCTGCAAGCCGCCAATATTTATGGGTCCCTCTTCCGAGGCCTGTAAATTACAACCGCCAACACAGAGATCACTAGTAGGGCACACCATGCCGCAAGTAAGACCCAAAGGATTGTCGGAGAAAATAGCTTTTGCCGCACCGTAATAATTTTTATTGGCTATGCTGGTGATGAAGCTCTTAATATCCAATTGTGTAGGACAAGACTTCTGGCATGGCGCGTCGGCGCACTTTAAACAACGCGCGGCCTCCTTCAAAGCGCCGCGTTCCGAGAGCGTTGTGTGTTTGACATCATCGAAGTTATTGAGTAGCTTGGAGCAACCCTGGGAAAATGCAGTTTGAGTATATTAGCTTTGTTGTAATTTTTTTTACCGCAATAAAATTATGCTCACTCACGGTTGGATTGCGATCATTATTTCGTTTCCAATGTTTCTTATTGACCTTCGTCTCGACAGTGGGCACAGCTGAGCATTTGGTCTTCACACGGGGATTCAAGGTCATCAGGCTCTGGAGGAGTCGATAAAAACAGTGAAATAATAAAAATTTCTGTGCACAATAAACTAAATTTAGAACTCACCTCGATGTCGGGTATCTCTTTGCTGAGTAATGCCGGAGGAGCCATATTTTATATTTTAAGCTCTGAGGAGGAAACAATGTTTGAATGTATAGATATTAGATGTTAGAAAAAAATTTCCTATTGATTTATGAATACTAAAATAAACCAGAAAGAGGTATAGATAAGGACGGTATACCTCCAGAGTTCTTAACATGCTTGCGCTCCGTAGACCCAACAGCATCTCGCACCACTATCTTGTAGCAGCAAAGAACCGCCAACAACAAACAGAAAGGCTCAACCTCAAAAAGCTACAATCACAACTGACTGCGAAGCAGTTTCCTAATCTACTTGCAAATTTGCTCTCTCAGAGCACCCATCGGAAACTTGGTATAAGTGAACTCAGGGATCAAGTTCCCCATGTACTGATGCAAACGAAAAGCAAGACGCACTTGCACAAAGAAATGAAAAAAGCCGAGATGCGGGAAGAAGAGCTTGAAAATTTGTCCAACTAGAAAAATACTCGAATATTCTACGAGGAGATACCGTAACTTAAAGAAGATTTCTTGTAGTACACAAAGACAACAGCAAGTAATGCCTAGGGTATACTGAAGACCAGGAGGTTATCATAGAACATGTTTCATTTCAAGACTATTAACAAGTCAGAATAGCTATTACCTGCCCAAAAAGCAACGTTCAAATTCAATAAGACGGCGTAGAACTGACCAGTTGCTTGCATCAACTTCCTTACAAAATATTGTCGGACGAAGGTGTGTCCAAATATTGAAACCCAAATGTGCCCTGCGCAATCCACAACAAACTTATTGGATTTTATCAGTGTCTTGTGTGACTTTTGAGCTGGAAAATCTACAATTGACCGGATATTCATCATGCACCCAAGAACCGTACAAGATGATCGGCACACACCAGCTCTTTGGCGTTTTTGAAACAGCCTTAGGCGAAAAGCAGTTGCCTCTACGACGCTATGTCTATGTGTCAGGATTGGGAAGGACTACACCGAACCGTTGGATATCAAACGAGGTTTCAGACAACCTATGGGTATGGGTCTCAAAATGAGGGCTCGGAAGTTAAATATCCATTATCATCCAACAAACAGTTATAGCATTAGCGACTCGGCTCCCACGTCACTGTAGACAGTCATAACTTCGAGGTCGTAGATAATTTCGTTTATTTAGGGCCCAGTCAGCCTTGAAATCCAGCGCAGAATCACTCTTGGCAACATGTGCTACTTTGAACGGATGAGGAGATTGAAAAGTAAAGTCTTCTCTCGACGACCAAACTCTACAAGTCCATCACCACTGCTATCATCGTTTAGGGTGCAGAAGCGTGTATAAATAATCGGCTTTCGTGACTTTCGAGAGAATGGAATACCGCAGACAATAGAACGGTGGGCTGTGTGAGATATATGGCTGCATTGACATAGTTCAGCGTTTACACTGCCTAGATCAAGTGGAAGCAGAGGAAGAGAAAGACCCCCTCTACTCCGGTGGATTCGGATATAATCGCGTAATTGGTGTCTACGCCAGTAAAGAAGAAGAAGGAAGGAAGGTGCTTAACTCTAAATAAACTCATAACCTAATCTCTACAAGTCCAATTCAAGTTCAATTCCTTAATGGGGGGGCCACTCAATAAACGAAGGAGGCGTGTCAGCATATACTATATACTTTTTATTTATTTATTATTTATATCTACATCAAGGCATACATATATAGATGTTTTATATGTGGTTATATTTCAATAAGCGTGCGTCGGTTTATAAACCATCTGCCATATATATTTCAAATATACATACTTATGTATGTACATATAATTTTTGTATGCCAAACGCTAATCTAAAGTAAATTACAACCGAGATAACTTATCATTTCAAAGTATATCCGCTAACCATGGCCGCTGTGTCAGCTCATTAGATGGCTCACTGCCAACTTATACCATTGCACATACGGGTATGTAGAGATGTGATAATGGAGTGAGCACTTGAAAATTGAATTGCAACAAGTGTCGAGTGCTTCAAAGTACATACAAATAGATAATAATCAATTTCATTTGACCAAAAACACTTCTTGCCGAATGATAAGTGTTCATAAAAGTATAAAAATTCATTGCTTAAAATTTCAAGAAATAATAATAATAATAATAATAATAATATAAGCTTGTGTATTGATAAACAAAGCAAAATAAGAAAAACATAATTATTTAATAATTTGCTGATAATTGATAATACGTCAATATGTACATACATATGTATGAGGGGCATGTTTTTGTATATGTGTATGTACGCAAATTATAATAAATATTATTTTTAATTTGGTTCTAACTAAATATTCATTCATGCATATATATATTTATTAGACTGGCTGCATTTACCCCAAAGAAGGCTCTTGGGCGACAGGTTGTCCTGAACAAAGATTGTAACGCAAAATGACGGGATAAACATCACTCCATTACATCAGAGCGCTCTGAAATTCACATTTTTTAAATACTATATTTTAGAACATCGTCCCTGCGATAGAAAAATAAATTTTTGGGATTTTTAGAAGAATTTTTTGTATTTTATTAAGAAGAAGCAGTACATCAGGCGCCTTTAATTACAATTTTATTACAATATTTTATTGAAAAAAGGTGGAATGCAACGTTTGCAAATCGTAAAAATTTATTACCAAAATAATGGTTCAGTGCGCGCGACGTTACACAGTTCCCTTATACCGAGTTGCTGGTGAGTGCTCTCAGAGAGCAGGAGTGCAAGTCGAGTAGAAAACCGCTGGATAGTCTGTTGTGACTGCCCAGCTTTCCGACGTCGAACTTTCCTTATGTTTGTTGACGTGCGTTCTTTGATACACAGACACAGCGGGTGCATATCTGCGCTGCAACAAGATAGTGGTCCGAGTCGAAGTTGGTACACACGTTAAGAACACTAGAGAAATGTCTTCCGTCTATCACAACTTGATCGATTGGGCTTTGTGTTTCTCGATCAGGGTACAGCCAAGTAGATTGATATATTTTCTTGTGCTGGAATCTAGTACTATTCGTACAGACAACCATAGTTCGAGTCTCGGCAATGTTGATCATTAGGGGATGTTTCGTTGTGTAGGCGGAGCATTTTTGCGAGAGTTCTGCCAAAAATATCTTCTTTGACCACACTAGCGTTGAAGTCGCTAAGCACAATTTTAACGTCGTGGCGGGGGCAGCACTCCTAAGTGTGCTCGAGGCGCTCATAAAAGTAATATTTGCCCAAAACGTCCTTCTATTCTTCTATACTTCGCTTCGATGCGTATTGTGGCGAGACGTGCAACCACCGGAGCGAATGCTAATACTCGACGATGGAGTCTCTCCCCCACCACGTATCCGACACCACATTTGCGCTGCTTTATATGGCCGCTTTAGTAAATGGTATATGGATCTACTTGCTAACGTCCTTGTCCTATCCATCGCACTTCTTAAACAGCGGTGATGGCAGCGACACCTTCCCAATTAAGAAACGAACATTTCAGGTGCATTCGCCCAAAGCGTGATCCTTATAACATTTACAGTGGTCGTTATTAGGTATCTCATTTGGAGCGTTATACATTTTGTAAAAAAACACCCTTTATAATGAAAAGTTACCTCAACTTTTATTTTTATACGCTTTTTTGGCTTTTGAATTTCGTGGCTATGTACAAAGCGCTACAGAGCTCGTATCTGGCAACACTACATAATTATACATAATTTGAAAGGTCTTGACATAACCTACAAAACAACGCTATGCATGATTAGTTTGGATTTAGCGTTCAACAGTTATAGACGTGTAAACATGGAGTTCACTAACGCCGAAATTCGCGCTATTTTAAAGTTTTCCTTCGTTAAAGGCAAATCCGCTAGAGAAACGTTTCGTGAGATTAATAGTGTTTTGGGGGATGGTATCACCTCTATCTATCACTTCGAACTGCAGAGGAATGGTTTCGACGATTCAGAGCCGGTGAAAACGACACCATGCATAAGCCAGCCGGCGGAAGACCTGTGACGACAAATACCGATCAAATCATGGAATAGATCGAGTTAGACCGGCATATGGCATCTCGTAACATCGCCCAGGAGATGGGAGTTAGTCACCAAACCATTTTGAACCATCTGCAGAAGGCTGGATACAAAAAAAGTTTGATGTTTGGGTGCCGCATAATTTGACGCAAAAAAACCTTCTGAACCGCATCAACGCCTGCGATATGCTGCTGAAACGGAACGAACTCGACCCATTCTTGAAGCGGATGGTGACTGGCGACGAAAAATGGATCACATACGACAATATCAAGCGAAAACGGTCGTGGGCGAAGGCCGGTGAATCGTCCCAAACAGTGGCCAAGCCCGGATTGACGGCCAGGAAGGTTTTGCTGTGTGTTTGTTGGGATTGGAAGGGAATCATCCACTATGAGCTGCTCCCAGATAGCCAGACGCTTAATTCTACCATCTACTGCGAACAACTGGACCGCTTGAAGCAGGCGATCGACCATAAGCGTCCAGAATTAGCCAACAGGAAGGGTGTAGTGTTCCACCAGGACAACGAAAGACCAAACACTTCGTTGATGACTCGTCAGAAGCTACGGGAGCTCGGATGGGAGGTTTTATCGCATCTACCATATAGCCTGGACGTAGCGCCAAGTTATTACCACCTGATCCTGACCATGGCGAATGCCCTTGGTGGTGTGAAGTTGAACTCAAAAGAGGCTTGTGAAAAGTGGTTGTCTGAATTCTTCGGAAATAAGGAGGTGGGCTTCTACGAAGAAGGTATTATGAAGTTGCCGTCTAGATGGAAACAGATCATCGAACAAAACGGCGCATATTTTAACTAAATCCGATCACTGTGACACTTTTTATAAAGCATTGAATGAAGAGCAAAAAAGCGGAAGGGAGATATTTGACAACCTATATAAAAAACCTCTCCATCCATTATCAATGGCGTAATATTGCAATTTGTTAATAGATTTATTATTATCTCATGCTGATAATGCGTTCAAAGTTTAAATAATTCGCTTGTGTACATTTGACAATTTGAATTAGTTTATTTAAAATATTTGTTTTTGTAATACTTAAAAATTTTTATTATCATAATTTTGTTTTCACTTTCATTGATGTTTATTTGGGGGAGATATATACCTACATATGTACGTTCATACATATGTATACATGTGTGCATAAATTCAGGTCATAATTTTTTCGTATATTTTTTTATCAGCTTAATTAAATTAATAGAAATTTATTTCACATCTCAGAAATGGTTTTTTTTTTTGCTTTTGCTTTTTATTAACACAAATTAAACTTCATTCAGCGTTAACTGGACCTAAATAAACACACAAGTATGAATATGTACATAGATATATATATATATATATATATATATATACATGCATAGTACAAAGTAGAACAAATATTTGCCACGCGCGTTAATGCCACCCAGCGGCGACAAATATCTTACATACTTGCATGCATACATACATACATACGTACAAACATACAGCCAGTATTATATAATTCTTGTATTTTGCTGGAGCGCCCTGCTCGCTGTCAATTAATTTTATTATTCTAAATGCATATATACATACATACATATATGTATATGTGGCAAACATGGTAGAAACATATATATATATTATATATAAATAATTAATTTATATACGCACAACGTACCAACAATAATAACAAAGATGAATCCACAAATTTTTTATTCAAGTTCAAAATTATTTTTTTTTTCAATGTTTTTTTTTTTTTATTTTTTATTATCTTCTGTTCTATTATTTACCGAACACTGCGTTTACTTAGCGGCCAAAGCGTTTCAAACACGAAAATAGAACTTGACTCTGCAAGCGTCTAAATCCAACTGATCGTGGTGTACTCAGGCGTTTTGTATAAGAAAACTGCGTCGGTTTGTTTGTTATCAACAGAAAATGTTTAAACAATATATATATATATATAAACAATGTGTGTATGTACAAATATCAGTTGATAAATAAAAACAAATTGAGAAGATTGAAAGATCGGCGCACAGCTGAGTGAATTGATGGTGTTGCCAGATTGTTTTCTTAATATTCTGATTCTTCTTCTTCTTTATTACCGTGGACAACGATTACGCGATTATAGCCGAATCAACAATGGAGTGCCATTTGATCTTTCTCTACGCTCCAATTGGAAATACCAAGTGAAACCCAGTCTCTCTCCATCTGATACTTCCAACAGAGTGCAGATCTTCCTCTTCCTCTGCTTTCACCTGTGGCTGGCTTGATTTCAGCAATTCAGACCACATGACTTAGCAATGTCTCTTCATTCGTTGAACTTTATCAATTTCATCTTACACCTCGTACTGCTCATCATTCCGTCGACTGCGGTACTCGCCATTGCCAAAACTCTTTTTCCCGAAAAATCCCAGGACCAACTCATCGGATGTTGTTAACGTTCACGCTTCTGCGCCCTTGTGTAGTTTGGACTTTATTTGTCGAAAGAGGACTACACTCTTCAATTGCCTACTCAGTACAAAGCAGTACCTGTTGGCAAAAAAGTTTATGCGTTTAAATTTATTGTTGTTTGTGTTAATTTGTTTCCAAGATATATGCAATTTGATTACAATTTGAAAGTTATGACGACTAACTTGGGAGCCGAGCTGCGGATGCGATGACTTTTTTTTGATGGTAGGAGGTATTTCAACTGACTGATTATATTGCCGCGATTGTGATAACCTTGCGACGTTGAAATTCCATTTCTCTTCTCCGGGCATTCTTTTACTCTCCATTGATATATTTGCCATCGCTCTAGCTTGTTTAGTTCGCCTGCTGTGTCGTGTTGAGTAAACGAGTTAGGTGCTCGTCACGAAAATGGAAAAACGAAATCAAGAGCAACGCGTCGCGATAAATTTTAGCGCCAAATCGGGCGAAACAGGTTCGGAAACGTAGGCTAGAATTTTAAAAGTGATTGTCCTCTTAGTCCTGGAAACCAAACGCCGAAGCTCATAATAGTTGTCGCATGCCCCCGCCCGAAAAAAGCTCGCATGAGCAAGTCGAAGGTTAAATTGATGATTATTGCTTTTTTTTGATAGCCGTGAAATCGTCTGCAAAGAATTTCTTCCACCGGGGCAAATCATAAATCAAGTCTACTATCGCTGCGCCCAGACTGTGACTTTTTTCTGTTCCCTAGAACAAAATCGGTGGTCAAAGGAATCCATTTTGAGTCGGTTGAGGATTTCCTAGCGGGCGTGACGAGGGTACTCGCGGACATTCCAGTCGAAGTGTTCCAGAATTGTTAAAAAGCATGGAAAACGCGCTGGAAACGTTGTGGAATAATTTTGGAATAAGCGGTTTTTTTGGAATCAGTACCAAAACTTAACTGTCACATCTCGTATCCTATTGCTCGGTAAGTTGTTTAATAACCTTTTCATCAATTCTAAAATCTTTGGTGACATAACGTTTCCCAGAAGATCGTGAAGCCTTTGAATGAATGAATGAAAGCGTGAAAAGGGTGATGGAAATGGTTATGAACGGGCTCCAAATCACAATCGCTCAGATCATGTCATGAATTTGTTTCTACTCTTTTGGGTATGAAACGCGGGATAGCGAAATTTGTTGCTAAATCGTTTACTTTTCAATGGAAATTGTTCAGGAGTCCCTTGATGAATTCAACGATTCGCCAGACCCGACTGACGTGACTTTTTTCCTTATACAAAAATAAAGAAATCCTTCAAGGGACGCCGTTTTATGACCACAGACGACAAACGCTTAAGCTATGTCTAAAATCGAGTTTGAGAAGTGTTTTGGTTATCGGAAGAAGTACATAATTTCCAATGGGAAATATCAACGTAGGCTAATAAATAAATATTTTGTTCAATACACTGAAATTTCCTTTAATTTTTGAAAGCGCCTCGTAATCATACATATTAAATAAATTCCCTCTTCTTTTCCCCACTCAATTTTATAGCAGCTGATGAAGAGCTGATAAGAGGCAAGTGTAACCGCGACCTTCCGCGATCGGTTACTGGTTTTTGGTCACCGGTCTGTTGGATTTTTCGATATCCCTCAAAATCGCCCCGCGGTCGGTTGGGCGGTAGGTGGGTAACGCTGGGTTCGGCGTCAAAATATCAAGTAAAAATATTTTAATCAATGAAAGCATTAAAAGTATTGAAACAGTTAAATAATTTTTATTATCTTTCAGCCCGAGGTAGGTCGTGATAACTGTTTTATTTTTCAATGAAATGATAAGTAAATATAATTTAATTTTTATCAGCAGCCAGCAAAAAAATTGTGCTTTGATTGATGAACTAAAGAATCGACTTCTTTTTTATCGATTTTTATTTTCTAATAAACACTTCAATTCACTTTGAAAAATTCAAAATATTTATTTGTACACATTCATATATGTATGTATTTTTATGTCACTAATTTTTTTTGCGCATTCCAATATCACAAATTGACATCGGAATATTTTTTAAACTTATTTTTAAACTCTTTCATTGGCTTTGCTAAGCTCCATGTACGAAACTAGAATTTCTTACCATTAGATGTCGCTAAGCGCGCATTAGTACAGACACGCACCACAAATTTATTAAAATTCAACGATCATCGGTTGAGTTTAATAAGCAAAGCAGAGAACTTAAAATTATTAAGTAATTTTTTTATGAATTATTATGAGTTTTCGGTAGAAGTATTGTTTCGGACCACACCATATACTGGAGGACAATATTCAGTAACTACAAATAGAGTTATCTGCGTGAATGTGGGAATAAAGCTATTGGGACACTCGGGATTGCCTCATGAATATTCCATTATACCAAGCAGCATCTATGGTTGTAGTTTAATATCGATTACTCACCAAAACTTCAGCATGCAAGACCTCAGAGCGAAAAACAGATCGAAGACTTTTAGATTGTTGTTGTTGTTGCTGTTGTTGTTGGAAATTGATAAATATATCGTGACGTAAGACTCACGAAGAGTTCGAAGATTACTGTTTTCATGAAGGAGGGAATGTGTTTTTGTCTCAAGTCACCGAATAAGGATATTTTAAGATTGCTTAGATCGCTTACGATCGATCCCAAGATTATATTGAATAGTTGCAGATCATCGTACTTTACAGTGGTGCTCCTAGACTTAGTTCTCAGTATAGAGTGACAGATAGACAAGCTAAGTAAGGGATGATGTGAAAAATTCCTTCTCAAATAAGGAACACATTGACATATCAATAACCACTTGCAAGAAGCTACTCTGAAAGGTAACGCATGAACCGGTCGCCAAGTTCTAACGACACCATAGCTTACTGTACGGTGAAGCAGCTTTCTCTAAACCTAGTAGGGACGCCAGAGAATAGTAATAATATGACGACACTTCCCTGCCTCTTTTGACATCAAGTCACTTGCATGCTCATAGGAGAGAGTTCATCATCGCAGATGCTAGCTTAACTTGTTGTTGTGAGTCAACAAAGCTTATCTGGCTAAAGAGAAAACATACACGTACACGTATATCCATTATGAAAGGTTTTCTTTCATTGAGCAGACAAGCATAGAGCCCCTGCTCGCATCACCAAATGAATTCGGCAGAAATTGTGGAGAGGAGGAAGAACTTGAACCCTCACGATGTTATCTTTTCATGTCAACGTCATAATTGGCCATAGCAAATGTATTGTAAATATATGTACGTGTATGTATATACGAGTACATAAACGAGAAACGTCGCCTAGAAGGACGAAGCTTCTTAAAAAAATAGAGGGGCTACTCAGAGTTCGTTTTAGGAGATCCTCAAAGTTTATATCTGTTTGAAATTCCCATATGGGATATACCGAAGTTTTTATCACAAAGTATTTTAAAAATAACTACAACAACAAATTTGTGATTTCGTATTTTCTTTTATTAATACATATTTATTGTAATTTACGACAATTCTTTAAAATTTACGCTGACAGTATGTACAATAAAATATTTACATATATATATAGTATACACGTAAACTCAAACCAAATACATACATATACATATATATAAAATAATAATTATTTATAACACATTTAAAGAAGCTTAAGAGCAGCACTGAGGATTCAATAATTCTTTCGCCAAAAAAAAAAACAAAAAAAACAAAAACAAATAAAAAAATATAATAACTTACAACTAATAGAAGGGAAGAAGGAAAGAGTAGAGAGCAAAAGAAATAAAATGCACAGTTATAAAATTGCTTATAATCACATAATATGCACCACGCTTTACATAAGATAGCTAGAAACACGTTTTGTTTTTATTGCTTATTATTTTATCTGCTGAAATGAAATAATTGCGGAAGGAATAAAAAATTTGCAACATTCCGAATGAGTTAGTTAAGAGTTTTGTTTAAAATTTCACATTTCTTCTGAAGAGTTCTTTTAAAAAAAAATTATCAAATTAAAAGGTGTAGAATTTTTTGTTCTTATCTGTGTGTTTTCTTAAAGAAATTTTCAAACTCATTTCACCTCTTTCTAATTAGCTTAGAGGCGTTTTCTCAAAGCCAGACGGCCGGTTGTCTGACGTCTCGCTTGCTCTTTTGGCTCTTGTTCGGACTCCTGGGCGACGGCATCATCAGCTGGCGCTGGCTCGGCGTTGCTGGGTTTCGCGAATTTGCGGCGATTCACTGTGAACGGCAGTAAATTAATGAATTTAACATTTGAAATTGCAAATATTTTTAATCAAATAAATAAATAAAATTTGCGTTAATTAGGAAACAGACTCACAGGCTAGATTGCCAGGCTTGATTGCTTTCGCCGGTGCTGGCGCTGGTGCGGATTCGGCAGCCTCATCACCATCCTCATCGTTAGCGTGCGTTGGCTTGCTCCTTGGTGTTGGCTTCTCAACAGCTGTACAAAAGAAAAAAGAAAATAAACAATAAAATAAAAAGCTATTATTTCATTTTCTCGTTGAATAAACTTACATCTGTGTTTCTTGGCGTCTTGTTGGCGACGTTTCAGTGAATTTAGGAAATCATCGTTCGAGCGGAATGGTCTTATGACTGGTCCAACAGTTTTCTTGGGTGCTTCAGTGGTTGTTGTCGTGCTGCTTGCGCTTGCGGCACCATCCTCCTCACCATCCTCACCCTCAGCAGGATTTCCTTCAGCATCATAGTATTCATTATCCTCCTCTACTTGTGGCGCTGCTGTTGTTGTAGTTTTGGCAGCTTTACCACCGATTGGACGACGTAGACTCGGCCTTGGCTTGAGCGCGGGTGCAGCGCCGTCTTCTTGAGCCCATGTGTGAGAGATGCAGCAAGCCAATGCAAGAACGACAAGCAAAAGTGTACTGGAATTAGGAAAAGAAAGGTATTATATTATTAAATATTTTTTTTTATTAATTTAATTTTTTTGTTAAAATTTAAGTTATTTTATTTTACTTTATTTTATTTAATTGATTTTATTTTATTTAATTTAAGTTATCTCATTTTATTTTGTTTTATTTCATTTTATTTTATTTTTATTATATTTTATTTAATTAATTTTATTTTATTTTTATTGTATTTTATTAAACTTAACTTAATTTTATCTTATCTCATCTAATTTTTTTATTTTAGTTTAGCTTTTATCCTTTTTTATTTAATTTAATTTAATTAAATTTATTATATTTTTATTTTACTTTATTTAATTTATTTTATTTTATTTTTTTCATTTAATTTAATTTAATTTAATTAATTTTTATTTTATTTTTATTTTACTTTATTTAACTTATTTTATTTTATTTTATTTTCTTATTTTATTAATTAAATTAAATTTATTATATTTTTATTTTACTTTATTTAATTTATTTTATTTTATTTATTTTTTATTTTATTTCATTCGATTAAATTTATTTTATTTTTATTTTATTTTATGTAATCCAATTTTAATTTATTTTGTTTTATTTTATTTTATTTAATTTTATTTTATTTTATTCTATTTTATTTTATTTTATTTTTTTTATTTTTTTATTTTATTTTATTTTATTTTATTTTTTTTTTTATTTTATTTTATTTTATTTTATTTTATTTTATTTTATTTTATTTAATTTTATTTTATTTTATTTTATTTAATCCAATTTTAATTTATTTTATTTTATTTTACTTTATTTTATTATTTTTCTTTCTTTTCCTTTTTTGTTATTGTTTTTAATTATTTTTTTCTGTACATATGTATATAAATATTTTCATAAAAATCAAAAATTCAATTTTTTTTACTGCAAACCGCATGTCAATGAGTTGTTTGCAATTATTTTGGAATTTCGCAGCAACGACGTGCTGTCGCTTTGGCCGCAAAAAGAGTACAATTTTAAATCAGCTTTAAAGGAAAATTAAAATAAATGAAAATTTATACGAACAAGTACAAGAAAATAACCACGAAACTGCTAAGCCACCGTTGAAGTGTTGGTTCAGCTGTGTTGGTGAAGGACGCAGCAAACGGTGATGTTACGAGGTGAAAAAAACTTGTAATTTAATGAAAAAGTTGCGTATACGCCACAGTACTTGGTAAAGGGAATGTTGCTGGCGAGGATGATGGTGCAGTTAAGCGGTAAAGTTGGTAGTTGCTTGGCCTAACGGTTAACCACTGGCCACTAGTTACTGCGCTTAAAACCTGCTGCTGTGCATCAGCTACTTTTGTTGTTGTTTTCCAGATTTCAATTAAACAGCTTTTGCTGTTGTTCCAATAGCTTTTAGTTTGTGGTGCTTAGCAACGGCACCCGAAGACGGCGGCCAAGTCCGAATTTAAAAAGTGTGCTTATGCAAAATAACCAGTTTAAAATAACAGTAAAATAAAACAGCAATAAATTTACTACAGGCAACATTTAAGAAAAATAAAGAATCAAAAGACAAATGAAAAAAAAATGCCGTACAATTAACGTGTTCAAAGCAAATAATTAGCATTTTTGTGATTGTTGCTTTTGTTGTAGTAGATAAAAATGCATTTGCATTGGAAAGTAATAACGTCAAACTAAACATACCAGTATGCATGTAGGAATGTATGTGCGTATGTATGTTTATGTAATGCATGTATGAATTTGAATATAGAAATGTATCTACTTGCATATGCATGTATGCATGTATACATGTGTGTGGAAAGATTTATGTGTATTTAGTATTCTTTATATATCTATATAAGGCAAATGCATTACTTTGTAAACATATGTGTATATGTATATATGTATATTACCTCACTCGTACATAACTATGTTTATGCATTTGTACGCACACCTTTCCATGAAGGTACCGCTATTTTTGTTTGACCGCTTTTCTACAGTTGTTTAATATAAGCGGCACGTCTAAAACCGTTAGAGCTTAAATAGATATGCATGCTTATGTGCATTGAATTTGTGCGCCATCAGGCTGCAGATGTCGAGGTGCCAACGCCAAAGTCAATGTTAGCCCCGTTATTCCAACTGCGACTGACTGCAAGTAACAGTATTTTCTGCGTGTTGATTGATTTACGGACGTTTGGAGTTGCATAGGTTTGGTTGAAGAAATATGTAAGTCTCAGAGCTTGAAATTGAGCTCAAAAAACCAAAATTTCGCTTCCTTTAAGCTGCTCCTCAACATGGAAATGATGGGTCAGGATTTGGCTTTATTTCAGGAACCATAGATAGACTCGCTAAAAATAATATCTGTTCATCCCGAGTGCAGCAAAAAAAGTATGAATAGCTGGTAGAGATTGCCAAAAATTTCATCCGTCTGGCTACCGAGCTAATGCAGGAAATACGAAAGTCGCTAAGAATGACTGCAAACGTATGAGTTCAGGACGTGCACCTGAAAGTTCTGATCCTTTAATTGGCATCACGGGGCCTCCCATCTGGTTGTCCCTTATGTAAAGGCTGCCATCAAAGTCGGCTGAAAGATAGATGGACGGGACTAGGACGAAAACGAATAGGTCATTGTGATTGTTACTACAGCGTTCGCATTAAAGAGCCAAAGTTTGGTCTTGGTTTCGTGTTTGAAGAGAGACACCGTCACTTAGGCCTAGAATTTACCATGGTGGAAGAATGTCTCGCTACAATCCGCATCAAAACGAAATTTCTCAACATCACGCTGATTTTCATGGCTCTTTCCAGATCCATGAACTAATACTGTTGTGATAGGCGGACTCTACATCGACACGGACCACTATCTAGCAGCAGCAAATCTACTTAAATACCTCAATACAAATAAATACCCGTGAAAGCACAAGGAGACTTGACATCAAAAAGCTAAAATCCCAATAGCCTGCCGAATGGCTTTCTACTGGAATTACTTTCCTGCTCGGTATAACTGAACTGTGGGACGGCATTTTAAGCTCCCTACATACAGCTACAAGCGAGATGATGGGCTTTCGAAATGGTTGCAAAAGCAGTTGATACAATGAGAATGCAAATGCGGCAACTTAAAGAAGATTTCAAAAACGGAGCAAACGTTCGTAGGGCACAAAGAGGTGATCTAGCCACCGATGCCCAGAATTTATTGAATTTATGAAGGGAACCTATCTCTAGCCTGCTGAATGATGATGGCAAAGACGTTCCAGTCCTGACTATGACGAGGTTCGAATAGCAATCGCCTACCAAAAGAATTATAAAACAGCTGGAGCTGACGACCTACTGGCAGAGCTATTCATACATGGCGGTGTAGAGTTGACAAGCTGCATCGGCTACTTTGCAGAATATGGTCGGACGAAAGCAGACCCGAAGATTGGAATTTAAGTGTGTGTAACGAAAATCTCCATTAACGGACGAACTATCTTCCATAAGAATGTACAGCTACTGTGGTTCATCAATGATATTAACATCATTGGCCTTAAAAACCGCGCCGAGAGTTCTGCTTCCTTCAGACTGGATGAGGAAGTGAAATGTCTGGGTTTGGAATTGGGCGATGACAAGACGAAATATCCGATAAGTCGGATCTGGGAGTCTTCGAGGGAGAAGTTTTGAGAACCATTTGGAAGACTCTAACTTTGAAAGTGTTCAATCCAGTATCCGCTGGTGGCCTTCTGCTACTTGTTATTTCCAATTAGCGCCAAAAAGCGAAAAACTAACTCAGCTTTAATCGCCTCGGCAAATACGGAAGAAGAAGACTTTAATTCACTTTATATTTATTGATGTTGGTCTGGCCGGAATTCGACACTCTCCAAATAGTAGCACGAACTGTCATCCCCTCAGCTGTAGCGGCTACCAGTTGAAGTACTGGAGAGTGGATGCAGCTCTCTCAGTCCATTTTGATAACGCACTTTAAAAAAAAATTAATTCTTTGCTTTTGCTAGTTTTTCTCTTCAACGAAAGTTAATGCAATTTCCTAAGCAAACAAAAATCAACTTACTGTAATGGACCAATTCATTGGAATTTACTAATGTGTGTATGAATGTACAGACGTTGCCTTTTATACCCACACAATAGAAGAGCCGGCTAAGAAATCACGAATTCCCAGGAAGTGTTCGAACAACAAAAGCCCAACAACAAAGTAAAAAAGCGCAAGTAGTTGACCTCAGGGCCAACACACATATTTACTGGCTGGCGACCCGTTTCTGTCACTTCTTCACTTCTATACAGCACACAACAATTACACAAACATACATACACAACTACAATACAATAACAATTGCAAATCCCAACACAATGGATAAAAACCATCTAATTTCATTTCAAATGGACATTTGGACATAAAAATTGCTTGTACTCGGTATATGTATGTATGTGTGTAATAATGTATTTCCACAAACACCGCTATTGTTCTTATTATAGTTGTAAATATCCATGAGCGAGATTGTATTGTACATTGATCAAATTACATAACAAAAAGCACAGCTATTACGTATATATGTATTTGTATATATGTATATATGTATGTATGGTATATGTATTATATATGCTCTCATGCATGTAAGTATGTATGTCTGCGCTTTGTATAATTTGATTACTTTTTTGCTTCGTTTCAGCGTCACAATTAATTGTTGAGCAGCGTGAAAGAAGTACAAAACAGGCAGAAAAGTAGGAAAATAATGATAACAACAACAAAAAAACTGTATTTAATTTTCGTATTTAGTGTCATTTGTATGCGCTGGTGGCACCCGGTACTTGGCACATATATTGGTATGTATGTGGTATGTATGTGGTATGTATGTATGTACAAAGATCGGGCGGTTGACGCTTTGAGAGATATTTAGATTTAGCTTACGCTCTGCATTCGAAATGGACATATATAAATACGCTTATATTCATACATATATTTATTTCTTATTTAAACTTTTATTAATTTTTTTATCTTAAAATTAAACTAATTTTTTCTCATTCTATACAACGAATTTTTTGCTTGACAC